CAAGTGTCCGCTGCGGGCATGTGTCCTCCGCGGGCAAGTGTCCTACGGGCAACTGTCCCGCGAGCATCTGTCCGGCGGGTAAGTGTCCTGCGGGCAAGTGTGCGTATACCACTATTATGCTACTTTGTTACGCAAATGAGCTGATTGTTACGTTCTTCATTCATCAAATAAGTACTTTTAATATCACATATTCTAATCTTCCAAAACATCACAGAATAAAGTCTTTAAAAATGTACAAAATCTGCAAAGTATTCTCTAATATGAATTGAAAGCTTGCCTTTCATGAAAAAAGTATAGTTCGTCAATTGAATGAACGTGAATATTGAGATTCCAAATCGAGAGTTCAGATACCATTTTTTGATAGATCTAGAGATAGGAATTTTTCAATTCTATAAATCTATCGGAAGTTTAGATTTGCATCTTGACATAATTATTAATTGATAGGTAGAGTTAGAAACATTGATATGAGAAAATATATTTCTAACTATAACAACAATGCATTGCGGACACTTAACTTTAATTATTATTTTTTGATTAAAATATCAGATGATAACTAACTTTCATTTTAAAGAAAACAACTAAACACTTTTCTTGGGCAACTGACGTTTACAAAAAGGGTGAAATATTTTTTTTTCGAACAGAATGCAAGAGAGTTTTTCGGTTTTTCTGAAAAACAAAGAATTTTTTCCAGATATTGAACAAGGTTACAAAAGACATTTAGTTTTTGATTAGTTTGATATGCCATCTTTTTGTGATAAGAAACTATGAGCGTCAATCCTGGCATCACTGAAAGGAAGATTTTTTCCAAAGGGTTCTAGAAGACTCTAGACACAGTCTCAGTGTTGTAGTAATATTTTCAAAGGACAAGCTACTGCTGTAGATCGGGTGTGATGTGGAAAGAGATACACATCCAACATTATGTATATGAATAATAAGACGTTTTTTGATAAATTTCAGTATAATAAATGGAATAGAAGTGAAGAAAATATGTGATTGTATTATTCTCATAACTATCTGAGAAATAGTTGAATTTATCTATATTTTAAAAGATATTTTCATATAGAAATTTTAGATGATAGAAAATTTCTTGTGTTTAATATCATTTATTCTATTATATTACTCTGGAGACTGTATTCAGCCATATTTCCCGTCTCAAATTGTATTTTCTACTGATAATAATCAAACAATAATTGCAATTGATGAAATAAATCAACGAGCTTATCAATCACTTCCTGTTGATCCTTCAAATACACAAAGATCGTTTGCTATGAAAAATTTTCCACATTCAATTCCTGATTCTCCTCAATCAAAATATTACGTTGAATTAGTAATAGATTCTTCAAGGAATACGTGTTTTTATGAAACATATTGGAAATATGGTGGAAATAATTTTAATGTATTTCCATCACATTGGTTGTTAAATATTAATTCATTTGCAATAAAAAATTATCTTGAATTTAAATATGTAATGATACATTCAAATGATTCTTCTCAAAATGAAGATTATTGGTATGCAAATAAAGAATGTGAAATTGAGAGTGGAGACAAATATCCATGTGAAGAAATTTATTTTAAAAAAAATACTGAAATTCCTCTACGATTAACTCAAGTTGTTAATCGAGGACTTAAACATATACGAACAACAACAAATTTTACAATAATATCAATAGGAAAACCAGATGAGAAATATTTTGATTCAATTCCTAAGAATTGGCCTACTGTGTGTGAAGATCTTGATCTTGGACTTTCATATTATCCACAATTTACACAAATAGGTGTAAATCAAAGTGTAGAAATTCACATATCTCTTTCGGCTCCACCACATCGAATTGACGGAAATGATACTGTTCGTGTCCAATGGAATACAACTGAATGTATTGATTGTTTTACATTATCACCAAAAGAATTTACTTTTAATACTAAAAATTTTCAAGAAAAACAAATATTAAGAATAACTCGTGTTAAAGATACATCTCAAACAAAAATCGTTCCAATTTTTAACGGTGGAGGTTTCGATATTATTTCACCTGAAAGGTTTTCTATTCATCTGTTACATTAAAGTATAATTAAATAAAATTTTTTATTGGAATATCACTTCAATTTTTGTTAACATTTGTTTTAATTACATAGTAAAATCAGCTCACTGAGCTCTATCTATTCATAGTATCAGTTCCTGATTGAGGAGTCATCGCGTGTTTTACAAGTACCCCTCACTTCATGGCGTGCGAATAGTGTGCAAACGAGTTCTCAAGTAACAATGAGACGTAACGCAAGACACATAATGAAAAATAATAACGATTTCCAATCTTTCAGATCATTTAAGTCAAAAAAAAGTCATTAAAGTCATGCAAAGTCATTTACACCATTTAAGTCATAAGTCAGCTGTGTCCCCCTTGCTTCTTATACTTCGAGTCTGTAGTTGACTTAGTAATGATCAAAGAGTTCGAACGAAATGAACTGGGCAAAAGTGGGCTTCAAAATAAGATTAAAAGACAACAGGCTATATACGTGTCATCAATAGAAGAAAAAACAATTCTATATAAACCCAGATGAATCGATCCGATACCAGATCCGACCGAATTGTGGGAGACGAAATTTGTTGACAAATCTGACGATTGGATACCAACAAATTTTCGATCACTTCCTGTTGTCAGAATCGTTTATTATTCCAACTGTCAGATTCTGATGGGATTTTCACGGGATTCAATCAACCTATGAATCTATGATCCATTTTGTATTATGATAAGATTCGTTAGTCGAGCAGCATCCGACTTGAAACGGAAAGTTTTATGCGGATCTAATATTGAAACTACGTGTAAATCATACGAAATGCCGCTCTAAAATTGTCATAGAGCAGTCATTCTTTCTCTATTCTGCCATACTTTGATGAAACGAATTATCAACTGCAGTTGATAATTGAAAAGCCTAATAAATCGATGAAAAAAACTGAGTATTTTCCATAGTTAGTAGTCAAGCTTTTTCTAAACACAAACTGAAACAAAAATTGCAGCACTAAGGTAAAATAAAGAACCAGCCTGGTCTTCCTCACAGATCCAGATATAAATGCAAATGTTGAAACAAGAATTATGAATTTTTTCCTGCTGAATCCTGTCGCATTCTGGGTGTGGGTGTGGGTGTGAGAGTGTGGGTGGGTGTGGATGGGTGTGGGTGTGGGTGTGGGTCTGAGTATGGAGGTGGGTGTGGGTGTGGATGTGGGTGTAGTTATATAAACAAATACCCACGCCCACACACCCACACCCACACCCTCAGTTATACGATCGGTATACCGCCAGTTAACCAGCGGTTTTTTAGCGGTTCGTACCACATGGGATTTCATCAAAATAATATTTTGCAACAGAAAAAAATTGTCTAATTTGATATTTGTATAGACAATGGCAAATCCATTTCACCTATTTAGCAAATATAGATTGTCAAAAGTCATCTTGAATCTTTTTAACAATGTCTCCTTCACTATTACCATCATTATGCAGCGTGGGACCATTTTTCGCTTGTTCAATCACATGAAACTAATAATAGAAAAAGAAAATATTGAAGTAAGAGAATTTTTTTTTTTACATACTGCAGCACTAATGTCAACAGGACTTTCTGAACGATTCGTAATTCCTCGTTGCAGTTCAACATCAGCAATCATTTCACGATTTTGAAGAATAACATTTGCATGTTCAAGAGCAGCAACAAAGTTAATATCATTTTGAATTTCTTCTAATCGCTGTATTCTCCTGCTTATTAATGGTAGTGGACTGTTAAGTATATATGGTAAAGTCTGTTGAATACGTTCAGTAATTGGTTGATTTTCAACAAGTGTCTATGTTTCATTATAATTATTTTGATTATTATTATGTACTTCATTGTCAAATAAATATTGACATAATGAATTTGAAATAAAATCTTCGTTTCCAATTAGATATATTTGAATTGATGAAATTCTTTTTACATAATTACAAATAAAATCTACATATGGATTTTCATAAACGTTTATAATTTCATTTGAAGGAAAATAATCATAAATTGTACAAACTCTTGGTTCATAATCGCCACATAATTCATTGCCTAAGATAAAAAAATAAATAAATTACGATCCAAATGAAAATAATTGTACATTACATGAAGTTATTAGACGTTCTTGAAAATCATATAAATTTTCATCAGTTGTATTCAATGGAATAATTATTATATGAGAAGCTTTTATCTAAATTTATTTCATAATATTGTTAATCTAAATAAACCAACCTTACAATACTTGTGTGTTTGTAAAAATTTGTCTTTTTATAGCATTAGCTTTATCTTGAAAAATAAATGCAGAACCTATTTGATTCAATGCTAATAGTTTTCTAGATGTATCTTCAAAAAATTGAATAACACTTGATTTTATTTTATATGATATAAGTTGCTTGATGACAGGAAATACATTATTACCATAAAATCTTAAATTACAATTAGGCTTCACCCATATAAATATAGCAAATACATGACGTTGTATTTTTAGTTCTTCAAAATCTGCACTCGAATTTTGATCATTTAAATCCAGAAGTAATACAATAAAAGAAAATAATTCAGAATGATTCACTACATAATTTTTCAGTTGTTTAATATCAGGAAATATTTGATGATCTATATAAGGAAGACATAATGGAATTGGTTCAGTATTCGTAATTGAACGACATACTGCTACTTGAAGATTCGATGACATCCTAAATGAATATTTCTTTAAAAAAATATTTTCCTGAGAAACTTGTTTTTTTTTTAATGTGACATTACGGAGGTTTTTAACAGGAAGGGAGAAAACATGCAGGGTGTGGGTGTGGGTGTGGTGTGGGTGGGTGTGGG